CTCCAGAAGCAAGAAATAAATAGGCTCTGTATGGAAATCCCTCCAAGAGATGTATCTTTCCACTGCAGGAAATAAATACCCAAATGACATCCACTGTGAAATGGGGCTCTATATGGGCATTCCCGGAAATATACCTCTCCTACACCAATCAGCGATCGATCCAAATGTGGCACATCCTAAAAGGATCCATCCATAAATGCGGTGGCTGCATTAGTTTTTCTTTTTTTTAGGTTTATCCTCTGTTTTTACCTGGTGATCTGGCCAGTAACACACCTCCTGTACTAGAGTAGTCCCAGTATGGATGAAGTTGCAACAGAGACACATTTGGAGAGCAGCATTGTCCTTTTTGATATTTATATTTTAGTGATTTAGTATTATTATAAAATAAAGGAAATGTTTTTGCCACAAATAAGAAGTTTTTTTAATTTTTATTTTTGAATTAGACTTATTGGATATAGTGTTTAAAATAAGATAATATTTTGGGAATTTTCGTAGTCACAAAGACAGGTATAGGAGTTGCAGAAAAAGTATTGTAAGGCCCCTTTCACACGGGTGGTTAGATTTCAGCTTTTAGCTGCATTTAGAGAAACTCATTTACCGCAGCTAAATGCAGACAATGTATCTCTATGGCTCCATTCACACACTGGGTTTAGCAACATTTACATAACATACAGTTTTATGCGTTTAGGTAAAATAAAGTTGACAGCATCCAGGAGCGATGTACCGCAGTTATCTGTACATAAACGTAGGTAATCGCAGTACGAAGAAAAAATAAGTAAACAGTTGCATAGAAAAGGCAAGAATTTACTAAATGTAGCCGCATGTAAATGCACATAATTGTAGATAAAAACAATGTACAAACACAAGTGATCTCTATGCCAGGACTGTTGGATCTCCAAAATAGAAATAAACATGCATTTACAAGCGGCAGAACAACCACTCGTGTGAGCGGCCTAAGAATAAAAAAAAGTTTAAAGCGAAACTAAACCCTCCTATTGTTTTCATCCAAGGAAACTGCCATCTTTGATCCTCAACTGCCATGATGCCGCACAAATGATCATTTTTGACACCAGCCATTCCATAGTTTGACAGTTTCATTGAGAGCAGAACCAAGTGACAGTTACATTCTTGGCATGTGCCAGTTCTATACTATGATAATTTTACTTTCAAAAGTTGTTTTCAATCTTTAAAAATCTGTAGATTTCATTAACCACTTGAGGACCGGGCTAAAGCCTGTCACAGCGTGAAGAAAGAGAAGAGCCAGTAATCAGCAAATGTATATAGGCAGTTCAGAGCAGCCCGCAGCCCCAACAGTATTCATCAGTGCTGCACCAATAGTGTCCATCAGTGCTGCCAGTCAGTGTCCATCAGTGCTGCCAGTCAGTGTCCATCAGTGCTGCCAGTGTCCATCAAGGCTGCCAGTCAGTGATCATCAGTTCCACCAGTCAGTGATCATCAGTGCCACCAGTCAGTGTCCATCAGTACGCCGCCAGTCAGTGTCTATCAGTGCTGCCATTCAGTACTCATCAGTGCCGCCTATCAGTGACCTTCAGTGCCGCCAATTGGTGCCCATCAGTACTGCCTATTGGTGTCCGTCAGTGCCTCCTTGCCAGTGCCCATCCGTGCAGCCTATCAGTGCCCATCAGTGCTGCCTATCAGTGTAGCCTCATCAGTGCCACCTTATCAGTGCAACCTATCAGTGCTGCATATCAATGCCCATCAGTGCAGCCTCATCAGTGCACATCAGTGAAGGAGAAAAAGTACCTTTTTGCAAACATTTTATAACAGAAACTAAAAAAAAACCTTTGGTCTTTTTTGCTTGTTTAGCAAAAAATAAAAAACCCAGTGGTGAGTAAATACTACCAAAGGAAAGCTCTATATGCTTAACAAAAATGATAAAAATGTCATATGTTTACAGTGTTGTATGATCACACAATAGTCATTCAAAATGCAACAGCACTGAAAGCTAAAAATTGGCCTGGGCAGGAAAGGGGTGAAAATGCCCAGTAGGCAAGTGGTTAAAAAGACACTTGGTGATAATACAATTGCAGCACCCTCCTAGATAGGTGCTAGTTTAGGCAAGTTTAGTTCCTTAGCTCTTCTGTAATCAGCGCTTATGATTTCTTTCATCTGCTCTGTGTTTCACTTGCTGTGGGTTTGACTGCTTCCCCTTGGATTATGGATAGTCTGGAAAGCAAATCAGCAGTTGAATACTTATGTTTCCTCAAGCAATCCCTGGGGAAGGATATCCAGATGGTGGCTAGGAGTGAGCATAAATAATCTGAAACAAATAAACCGAAACTGGAAGTAACAAAATCGCTTGTAAAATTGAACAGGCAGCTGTATAGCTGCTCAGTTGTTCAAATCACTTTTATATTGTAGGGAATCACAAGCTGAACAAAATGTTATTTAGATCATGGCTCCACATGCAGCCATGACCCAAATATCACTTCTTCCATCCAAGGACTTACAAGTACATCCTAAGGATGGGAAATGGTTAAACTGACTGTGTTTAATTAACTACATTTAAAGAACATACTTTGGGATAAGAAAGCCAAAAAACACAGCACACCGAGAAAGCCCACAAATAAGACCAATAAAAATGGCTTCAGGGCTTCATCCAAGCCATGACCTCAACATGTTTCCCCCCACCCACAGGGCTTAGTCATGGATCTCCATGATTAAGCCCTGTGGGTGGGGCAAAATGCATAGGGGCGTGAACTGAATAGAGCCAGGCTGAAGCCATTTTTAGTGGTCTAATACTTGGGCTTTGTTGGTGTGTGGAGTCTTGGCTTTCTTATCTCAGAGTGTGCATAGAGCTGGAATGGGCTCTCTCCAGTCCTGCACCCATGAGTATGAGTCAGCAAAGTCTGGGATGGAATCCTGGAGGGGCATCCCAAACTTTACATGGTTACATTTAAGGAACATAGGTAAAATATGTGCCTTTTGTGAGCAATGCATGTGCCTTCAATTCATTCTCAATGAATAAATCATAACTGGAGGGATTGAGTCTTCAAAAATAACCTAAAGGAGTTTTTAAATCTGCCTACTAAGGGAAAATGTTGAAGTTTTCTGCATCAGGAACACTAAAATCTTCTTTAAACATTTGAACTTTTTCATACAATTCCTATTTTCTGTCAGTTAAAGTAGAACCACTGAGGCTTAAAAACGATATTATTAAAGGTTGAAGCGTCTCAGCTATTTCATAATTTCGCAGGACAGAGGTTAAATGATGATTTCAGTTTTTGCTTGGCAAAAGCTCAGAGTGGGAATATCTCTTAGCATATCAAAAATAAATGCGTTGCTTAGACTTTTTAATTACAAGCTTTTCTATTAGGTCATAAAGACTATGCTTTCCATTGGTTCTGAAGACAGAGTTTTAGTTCTCATCTTCTGCATACGAGTATGTTCATTAAAATTCAATAGCTCTTTCAGGCTCAGCTTCTTCTCTAAAGGTGTTTCGATATTAAACACTAAAGTAAAAAATCAAGTGGGCAAAAAATGTCTAGCAGCGGACTACAAAGACTGGGCACTAACCCTTGGCATGGCTCACAGAACCATCATTCTACTAAATTACTATATTATATACACATATTACTATACATATCCTGAATTTAAACCTATCGGGGGGGAACTTTCAAGGGCATGGCATCAGAGTCTTTAAAATAAGGGAAACACCTCTGAGTTCCACTCAGCAGCCAATACCTTTCTTTCTCAAGGTTATAGGGTCAGTACATCCAAAACAGCTGCTACCATTTTGTGAAAAGGATTTTGTATCATCTGCATGCAGAGACACAACTAGAACCTTCAGGGTCCCAATGTAAAAAACCATGATGGCCCCCCCTGACCCAGGCCTGGGGCCTTTCCCCTTTAATATGGTCCTAAAGTGGGACCCAATCATATGTTCTTCAGCAAGCCTTTACATTAGAAACCCCCCCTTACATCAGGGTTCCCAGCATTCCTAGAGCCACCTTTTCCCTTTACAGTGCATCAGAGTCCACAGGGTTTTCCCTACAGTAAAAGAGTAATCAGCTGAGCTCAGCTTGGGCAGGGGAGTGGTACTCTGGTCAGGTGCTCAAGGAGGGGGCGAGGAAGCTTTGAGACAAGTATAGTTTTAACTGGCACTTTTCTGCTGTTTACAGACAGCAGGAAAGTGCCCTTTTATACTGATAACACTGCTTGGGGCCCCCCACAGTGGTGGAACACCAGGGTCCAGTTGCAAGTGCGACCTTTCTGTCACTGTCTGCATGTATATCTCTATTGTTAAAGTGGCTCATGCAATAAAATGCAATGCCCGCTTATAATGCTCAGGTACTCTCCCAATAAAATATCATTCGAGTAAAGTATGTGCAAAAAGTACCTGCATGTAAAAAAGTTATATTTTACACTTGTGGATGAAAGATGAACTGCAGCTATCCTTTAACTTTAAATAATTCATTTGGCCAAGCTGGCCCAAACAAACACTTTTCCTGACAGCTCCATGTCAGCACAACTGGATAAGGGCCCAGCCCCCCCCCCCCCCCCCCCCCCATGCTTCCAGGTCCTAACTCATAAATTTGAGCCCACCTGCAGCTGTTCCTCTTTTTTCTTCCCATGTGCAGGACCTAGGTGTGTTCCTCTATCTCAGCGGTTCTCAACCTGGGGGTCGCGACCCCTTTGGGGGTCGAACGACGCTTCCACAGGGGTCGCCTAAGACCATCGGAAAACACATATTTCCGATGGTCTTAGGAACCGAGACACCGCTCCTCGCCGCCGCCACCGCCGTCTCCAGGTGTGGGCGGGATGACATGCCGCCCCTGTCATCTGGACACACCTCGAGATCAATCCTCGCCTGTGATTGGCCGCCGGCACTGTAGCTCAGGAGAGGCACACAGGCGGCCAATCACCGGCAAGGAGGTGGAGCTTGGAGAGGAGGAGCCGAGCGGCACCGCGAAGATCGAGCGAGTGAAGAGGAGGAGAGCGGCCGGAGAAGGAAGACATCTGACAGGTAAGTGTCGTACCATGGGAGAGAGAGGGAGCGAGTGAGCCCAGGCTGGAGCAGGGGTCTGCAAAGTTAAGTATCATTGGTGTCAGTGGGAATAGTGCCCCATCATTGGTGTCACTAATACCAATGATGGGGCACTATTCCTCCCACTGACACCAACGATGGGACACTATTCCTTCCACTGACACCAATGATGGGGCACTATTCCTCCCACTGACACCAACGATGGGGCACTATTCCTCCCCCAAATGACACCAACGATGGGGCACTATTCCTCCCCCTGACATCAAGGATGGGGCACGATTCCTCCCCCCACTGACACCAAGGATGGGGCACGATTCCTCCCCCCACTGACACCAAGGATGGGGCACAATTCCTCCCCCCACTGACACCAAGGATGGGGCACTATTCCTCCCCCCACTGACACCAAGGATGGGGCACTATTCCTCCCCCCACTGACACCAAGGATGGGGCACTATTCCTCCCCCCACTGACACCAAGGATGGGGCACTATTCCTCCCCCCACTGACACCTATGATGGGGCACTATTCCTCTCCCACTGACACGAACGATGGGGCACTATTCCTCCCCCACTGACACCAAGGATGGGGCACGATTCCTCCCCCCACTGACACCAACGATGGGGCACAATTCCTCCCCCCACTGACACCAAGGATGGGGCACTATTCCTCCCCCCACTGACACCAAGGATGGGGCACTATTCCTCCCCCCACTGACACCAAGGATGGGGCACTATTCCTCCCCCCACTGACACCAAGGATGGGGCACTATTCCTCCCCCCACTGACACCAAGGATGGGGCACTATTCCTCCCCCCACTGACACCTATGATGGGGCACTATTCCCCCCACTGACACCTATGATGGGGCACTATTCCCCCCACTGACACCAATGATGGGGCACTATTCCCCCCACTGACACCTATGATGGGGCACTATTCCTCCCCCCACTGACACCAATGATGGGGCACTATTCCTCCTCCCACTGACACCAATGATGGGGCACTATTCCTCCCACTGACAGCAATGATGGGGCACTATTCCTCCCACTGACACCGATGATGGGGCACTATTCCTCCCACTGACACTGATGATGGGGCACTATTCCTCCCACTGATACCGATGATGGGGCACTATTCCTCCCACTGATACCGATGATGGGGCACTATTCCTCCCACTGACACCGATGATGGGGCACTATTCCTCCCACTGACACCGATGACGGGGCACTATTCCTCACACTGATACCGATGACGAGGCACTATTCCTCCCACTGACACCGATGACGAGGCACTATTCCTCCCACTGACACCGATGACGAGGCACTATTCCTCCCACTGATACCAATGACGGGGCACTATTCCTCCCACTGATACCAATGACCGGGCACTATTCCTCCCACTGACACCAATGATCGGGCACTATTCCTCCCACTGATACCAATGATGGGACACTATTCCTCCCACTGATACCAATGATGGGGCACTATTCCCCCCCACTGACACCAATGATGGGGCACTATTCCTCCCACTGATACCAATGATGAGGCACTATTCCTCCCACTGATACCAATGATGGGGCACTATTCCTCCCACTGACACCAATGATGGGACACTATTCCTCACACTGACACCAATGATGGGGCACTATTCCTCCCACTGATACCAATGACGGGGCACTATTCCTCCCACTGACACCAATGACGAGGCACTATTCCTCCCACTGACACCAATGACAAGGCACAATTCCTCCCACTGACACCGATGATGGGGCACTATTCCTCCCACTGATACCGATGATGGGGCACTATTCCTCCCACTGATACCGATGATGGGGCACTATTCCTCCCACTGACACCGATGATGGGGCACTATTCCTCCCACTGACACCGATGATGGGGCACTATTCCTCCCACTGATACCGATGACGGGGCACTATTCCTCACACTGATACCGATGACGAGGCACTATTCCTCCCACTGACACCGATGACGAGGCACTATTCCTCCCACTGACACCAATGACGGGGCACTATTCCTCCCACTGATACCAATGATGGGGCACTATTCCTCCCACTGACACCAATGACGGGGCACTATTCCTCCCACTGATACCAATGATGGGACACTATTCCTCCCACTGATACCAATGATGGGGCACTATTCCCCCCACTGACACCAATGATGGGGCACTATTCCTCCCACTGATACCAATGATGAGGCACTATTCCCCCCCACTGATACCAATGATGGGGCACTATTCCTCCCACTGACACCAATGATGGGACACTATTCCTCACACTGATACCAATGATGGGGCACTATTCCTCCCACTGATACCAATGACGGGGCACTATTCCTCCCACTGACACCAATGACGAGGCACTATTCCTCCCACTGACACCAATGACGGGGCACTATTCCTACCACTGATACCAATGACGGGGCACTATTCCTCCCACTGACACCAATGACGGGGCACTATTCCTCCCACTGACACCAATGACGGGGCACTATTCCTCCCACTGACACCAATGACAGGGCACTATTCCTCCCACTGACACCAATGACGGGGCACTATTCCTCCCACTGACACCAATGACGGGGCACTATTCCTCCCACTGACACCAATGAAGGGGGCACTATTCCTCCCACTGACACCAATGACGGGGCACTATTCCTCCCACTGATACCAATGATGGGGCACTATTCCTCCCAATGACACCAATGACGTGGCACTATTCCTCCTACTGCAAAATTACAGTTATGAAGTAGCAACGAAAATAATTTTATGGTTGGGGGTCACCACAACATGAGGAACTGTATTAAGGGGTCGCGGCGCTAGAAAGGTTGAGAACCACTGCTCTATCTGGTCAGTCTAAAGGGCTGGCTGGCAGTGCATGCGTGTGGGTTTCAGCTGGACGCAGCCCCTGGTGTACCAGCTAAATGACCCATAATCCAGGGAGCTTTTTTTCAGCTTTTTTCACGACTAACAGCCTTGTCTGAGGTCTGCTGGGTCCATGTGAAGTGGACAGCGGTGTGAGCAGAGTCTCCGCTAGGCAAAACACACCCACGCAGTGCCAGTGTTTACAGTCGGATAGCGGAGGTTGGGTGAGCTAAATGTAAAAATGCTTTGTATCCAAATTAATGTTGCATTGCTGGCTATTGTTGTGCCTTGCTCCCTGCAGGCGCTGTGCATACCCTGAGCTCCTCCACAGATAGTACTCTGCATAACAGGTGTACAAAGTAATACTTTGTCTGTTCACACTTGGCATTAGCCTGTTGGGGCTTCTCATATTTGCTTTACTAGTGTGCCATTATGCCAACCCCCTCAAAAGACCAGCATTCCCAGAGAAGGTAGAGGAGTCACCTGTGGATGACTACCATAGCCAGCATTGTCTGTTGGAGTATAGTACATTCCTTTAATATTTGTTTGTGGTCTCCAGTTTCTCAAAAAAAAGAGAAGGTCTTTATGTCATCAACAATTCCCTTGGATGACTTATGTACATTGCAGAATATTATTGTAATTCTGATGCACATTCCTACCTTTTTGTTGCTTCTCTTAACAAAACATTTTCATCATGTCCTGTTCTCTGGCAGGGCAAGGTTTGGTTCATTAACCACCTAATCACTTCAGGGCTATGGTTGGAAGCTGAAGTATCGGCATCCCTCTAGCAGTGTGTAACCCTTTAGGGTTTGTTACCAAGCAAGCTATTTTCTACTTCATTTAATTATTAGGGTTTATTTTTTATTTTGTTTTTTTTAGCTGCTTTAAGCAGCAGGCAAAACCCTGTGAAAGGATTATCTTGTCTGACATTGAGCAGTCTCAGAGCTTTCCCAAGAAAGACAACCCTCTTCAGATTTTCCATAAAAGACACAGATAAACATGAATGTAAGTGTTTCACTCACCCTGTGAAGGGGTTATCTGTTCTAACAAGTAGCAGTCTCATAGCCTTCCCAGGCAGAAAAGCCTTGTCAGACTTTCCAAAGGGAAAAAGACAAATGGACATGACAATATGAATCTTGCTTTGTTCAAGCAACCACAAATGAGGATGAGGACACCCAACATGCTGTCACATTCATTAAGTGGCCAGTGCACTCAAAGAGAGTTGTTTTCACTCACCCTGTGAAAGGGTTGTATGTTCTGGCAATTAGAAGTCTCCTAGCCATGCCAGGCAAGACAGCCTCTTCAGACTCTATGGAAAGGAAGAGGTGAATGAGCATGACTATGTATCCTGCTGGGTTAAGCAGCCAGGGATAGAGATGATGACACCTAACAGAATGTCCCATTCAATAAACACATTGTCAATACACTAAAGAAATGGTTTCCACTTACCCTTTGAAGGGTTATCTGCTTTGGCAATGAGAAGCTGCCTAGTCTTCCCAGGTGAAGTATTCCTCTTCAGAGTTTCCAAAGAGGACAATGTGGACAGACATGACTGCATGAATACTGATTTGTTCGAGCAATCAAGGGTAAAGATGACACCAAACATGTTGTCACATGAGGCTAATACACTCTAAAGGAATGTTTCCACTCACATTGTGAAAGAGTTATCTGTTCTATCAATAAGCAGTCTCCTAGCCTTCCAGGTAAACAAACCTCCTCAGAATCTTCCAAAAGAAGATTCAGGTGAGCATGACTGTGTGATCCCTGCTGGTTCAAGCAACCAGGAATAAAGAAGTTGACACCTAACAGTTTACCACATTCATTGACCATGTGGTCAATACATTCTAAAGGAGTTGCTTCCATTCACCTTGTGAAGGGGTCATATATTCTGCCAATCAGCAGTCTCAGAACCTTCTCAGTCAAATCAACCCTTGCCAGATTCATCCAAAGAACATGTGGACGAACATGATTCCTGCTTTAAGTAGACAGTGATTAAGATGATGGTGACCAAGTTGTCAGAATTAAGAATGTGGTCAAGCCACTCAAAAGGAATTGCTGAATTCACCTTCTGCAAGGGCCATCTATTCTGGCAATGTCCAGTTTTCCTTTTAGGGCCATTATAACTAGTCTCAGAGCCTTTTCAAGCCAATCAATCCTCATCAGTTCCTTCTGAACAAGAAGATGATGACCTTTGTACAGGTTGTTTCCTCCTTTTGTAAGATGAAATTCCTTTAAGTAGAAGCAAAGCTGTGAAAGTATTTCAAGTGCCTCCAGAAGACGGCTTGACAATTCCCTTATGGTGACTAAATCAAGCTCCTGTTCTACAAGATTGGAGTATGTTGTCACAGCAGGATGTCAAGGGTATTTGAACTCCTTTGGTCTGTGTGTCCCTTATGGGATTGGCCAGATACATGACTTTACCATCAGAAGATGCTGTGGCCTTC